AGGCATTTTTATTTATAAAAAAAAAACTATACCCACGGTACGTTTTTTGTCGATGGACGGGACCAGGTCCCACTCACCAATTTCCGGGTGAGTCATACGGTCCCGGGAAAAACCCGGTAATGCTAGAAGTGACTATAATCGTAATACGACTTTGCTGATGGACGGTCCCAGGTCCACTCACCAATTTTTTCAGGCGAGCCACATAGTTCCATATGGGCCTATATAATAGGTTGGCATTGTACAGATAGAGATCTCCAAACCACAGGACGAGTATATTTTCTTTCTTGTTATTTATTACTTCTACTTATTCATCTTTGACTACCTATCTATCACTACTCCTAAGGCTATACAGAGGACCCCCACACGCATAACTACCTCGCGATGAAGGGATTGCATGTTGCCCTTCCCTCAATGTTTTAGGGTGCAGGGTTGGGGCCGCCGGTTTGTGCCCAGTTAACACAAAGACCGAGCATTTGCTAGTAGTTGGGCCTCCCTTTTCATCTACCCCCACCCCAATCGAGTAACAACAGTATCTAAGACCAATACTCTCCTGCACACCAGGCACAACCACTCACATAGTTTTATTATCGAAGAGCCTTCCCCTTATAAACTTAAGGGCGAGGTCCCACTAGCAGAGGATTGGATTGAACACCTGAATCGTCCTTGTGGAGAGATGCAGAAAATCGCAATCGCGATCAGTTTCCACACGCATAACTACCTCGCGATGAAGGGATTGCATGTTACCCTTGCCCCAATGTTTTAGGGTGCAGGGTTGGGGCCGCCGGTTTATGCCCAGTTAACACAAGGACCGAGCATTTGCTAGTAGCTGGGCCTCCCTTTTCATCTACCTCCACCCCAATTGAGTAACAACCGTATCTAAGGCCAATACTCTCCTGCACACCATGCACAACCACTTATATAATTTTATTTGGATATCGAAGAGCCTTCCCCTTATAAACTTCAGGGAGAGGTCCCACAAGCAAAGGATTGGATTGAACACTTGAATGTGGACGTCCTTGTGGAGAGATGCAAAAAATCGTGATCGCGATCAGTTTGCTTTTCTGTATCGTTGCACAAACCACATCCATATTTAGACACTTAAACAACCAAAACCTTTCCCCGTTTGAAAAACCAAATATGCGACTCATATACAACAACAACTTTCGGGGTTCGGGTTACGGGATCAAAATGGCTAGCGGCGCCAGCCAAAATGAGGCCCGCGCCAGTCAAAATGAGGCCCGCGTCAGTTTGTTTCTTTTGGCGCGTGAGGCATTTTCAGGCTGGGCTTCAATAGCTGAGTGACGTACTGGTGGTTTACACCAATGCTCTTTGCTAGTGGGACCTCACCTTAGGAGGCTTACAACATTTGATTCTGGCAGCAAATTGTGACCTTTGTCTGTCGTCTCCAGGACAACAAATTAGGGTAGATTTTAAACCACCAGTATTTATGAGGCACTTTCCTTCAAGGCGGGAAATGCCCTGCGCACGAGGGTCTGCGAGTTTTGGAGGCCGGAAACTCAATATAGGCCACGGATGAAATTTATCAACGGCGGACGGCATTGCGCCCAGCCCCCTAGGAAGTACTGGTGGTTTAAACCACCACTACCTTTCGCGTACATTGGTCGCGCGCGAGGGTCTCTGAGTTTCGGAGGCCGGAAACTCGACATAGGCCACGGATGAAATTTATCAACGGCGGACGACATTGCGCCCAGCCCCCTAGGAAGTACT